ACCAATTGATGAATTGATCTTTGAATAAACAGGCACCACAGTTAGAAGCAGTTAAAAGAAATTGGTTCATGGAGTTGAGTTTGGAAAAAATGATACTCTGCAGATATGTGAAATTTTCGTCAGAGGCAAACAAACTCGACTACCATTTTCGAAAGAGTGAAGGGTATAAGGAAGAAAGGAGATACTGAAAAAAAAAGTTTGCATAGATCAAAATAAAGAAACAGGAGTTGAAGAAAATCCGGATTCAGTCGAATTATAATCTGACTTACTACCTCAACAAAATATCAGTGATAGTGAAATTCAGATCGAATTCCCAGGGAAACAAGAGACGGATGAAAGTTCATAAGAAGAATCAAGAGGAAGAAGTTCAGAAAGACCAAGGAATGAAGACAAGGATAATGGAAGACCAAGAAAGGAATATTAAATTCAATTAGGTGCAGATAGTAATCATTTTGCTGCTACAGCTCAAGATCTGAATGCTTCGAGTACTGAAGAAGTTCTCAGGAGTCCAGATTATAGAAATTGGAAGGAATCCCTAAAGAAGGAGTACATAACTCAAATGAAGTGCCATACATGGAATATGATTGATCGCCCTGTGAATCGTCATACAATCGGCAACAGGCTTGTTCTCACTACTAAGTACAAGGCTGATGGAAGCATAAAAATATGCAAGGCTAGATTAGTAGCAAAAGGGTATGCTCAACAGTATGGAACAGATTTTCATGAAACTTTTGCTTCTGTGGTGCGATTAAGTACAATCTGATGGCCCTATCGGTGTAATATGGATTGAATGTACACCAAATGGATGTGGTAACCGCATATTTAAATGGTATGCTGAAAGAAAACGTTTTTATGGAGTTACCAGATAATCTAGAAGATAGTGAATGAAAATCATTGCAATAATAATGAAATTCTGAAAACTGCTAGGACACGGTTGAAATGCATGAAGGAAGGAGACAAGGTTTGTCATAGAAAAAGGGAAGGCAATGGTATATAAAACTCGATTGTGAACTTCAGAAATTCAGAATGACATCGCTGAATTCCGATCGATGTTTATATTGTTCAAGAAACGACAATTATTTGATGTTAATTGCTATATATGTTGACGATCTTATTATAGCAAGTAGCAATTTGGAGAAAATAGCCATAATGAAACGAACTCTATCTGACATATTGGAAATGAAGGATTTAGGTCCAATAAATTACTGCCTTGAGATAGAGTTTCAACAAAACGAAAAGAAAAAATAATGAATCAGAATTTATTCGTGAAGAATATTCTGGAATGTTTTGGAATGAGTGAAAGTAAACCGATATCAACTCCTCTAGAAGTGAATCTGAAAATGCTATCATCCAATTCAACGGAAGAAATCAACAAACTGTATCCTTATCAGTTTGTAGTGAAGCGATCACTGAGATACTTAAAAGGTACAAGCAACTGTTCACTAACTTTCCAAGGAGGTGAAAGCATATTTGGATATGTAGATGTTGATTGGGGTGCATGCCCTGAAGACCGAAGATCGTATACAGGGTATTTATTCAAGTTTGCAGCTGGAGCCATATGGTGGGAATCCAGAAAGCAAAGAACGGTGGTTCTCTCCAGTACAGAGGCAGAATACATGGCGTTGACTGAATGTTCGAAGGAAGCCATTTATTCAAGTTTGCAGCTGGAGCCATATGGTGGGAATCCAGAAAGCAAAGAACGGTGGTTCTCTCCAGTACAGAGGCAGAATACATGGCGTTGACTGAATGTGCGAAGGAAGCCATTTACCTTTAACAATGCATGAAATAATTATAAATTCCTCAAGATAGTGCATTGTTATATTCAACGAAATCATTGACAAAGCAGTCATTGAAGATATACCTGAAACTTTGAGGAGGATTGTTGAGTAAATGCTGAATACTATCAAATATTACAGGATATCCTACTGTGAATATACTTATGAGTTGTGTAGTTATAATTTATAGTTGATAATAGATTTTATTTAAGATGTGTCAATGGATATTTTACTCTGAAAATTCAGATCAGAATCCCTATAATGTTCGAATAACAACGTGTGTACCTGGCGAGGATAAGGCATTGTCGATTTAAATGAAATCCTAGTAGTCGGCCTAGTGCGAGGAGGTATAATATTGTTTGTTGAGTGTCAAGTGGCGCTGGGGAAGGCTATATGGAAAGAGCTCATTTGTTTATGTGAACATAGAAAATATTTGTTTGACATTCTCTTTTTCTATTTTTCTCCAATCCGTAGTAATCCGTACACAACCACAGACGAGATTTCCATCATTGACGTGATATTCGATACGAAGGCGATAAAAAAGAAAATTCATTCATGAGATGTCGTAATCGTAAAATTATTTTCTGACAATTTATCCTTAACTTATAACTTCGTCTTTGTGGATGTGTTGAACTTTGAATTCGAATCCTTGAAAATAACAATCATACCCAATTATTTCTTCTAATATTGGTTGTTCTAATGATTGAAATATATTGCTAGTGGTGAAAAAATGTAATATTCACCTTGGTAGTGAAGAATATTATTACCACGGGACCTTGTACCCCTTGGCTGAAGCCTCCGGATATAATCGTGGTCCCTGGGTAATAATGATATTCTTGACTACCTTGGTTTATAAATAACTTACCTATACCTAGGTACAATATATATAGTGTTTTCAAACTTGGTTACCGATACATCTCTACATATCAATAAACAGAGGGTATCAGAAGAGGACAAACTAGTAGAATTAAAATTGAAATAATTCATTATTCATAATTATATCCACCAATTTATTCAAAAAGTAATATAATTGTAGTTATTTTGCAATAAAAAAATTCTCTAAATATCCTAGCATCTTAACAAAGAACCCTGAACAATAGGATACCATATATCTGAAGATATTTCCTATACAATCTTGAAATCACTTTACCACTTTACCACTAACCAAACCGATTTTTCACACCTCGACACGTGTTTCTTCAGGAAAAGATTAAAACTTAGTCAAAGTGAGTTTCAGTCTTCCCCTGAAGATGCTAAAATAGTTAGCGATACACGTGTCGAGGTAAAAAAAAATCGGTTTGGTTAATGGTAAAACAGTGTCTAGTGTATTATCGTGCCAAAGGTTCCAGTCTTCGATATATATAAGATTGGTTAAGAAAACTTTGAAATCAAAAGAATTGCAAACAATGAATCAGTCCACCAAAATATACTTTGATATATTTTAGTGTCCAATAAGATATATAGAATCTGTTTTGACAATGTGTATCATGTATGGAGGAAAAAATGTATAAAGCCATCAATGTTGATAATGTTTGAAAGAAGATATAGAACAAAAAATATTGTTTTCGGCAAGTAAATAGTGGAAAAATATCAAAATGCATGCATACCTATTACAGTGAATTCAAAAAATATCACAATGCAAACAGAAAACACACTAGCAATATAAATAACCAATATAACATCATAAAATCCATTAACCCTGCAGTAACACTTCTGTATCAACAGTTTGTTTAAGTCTCTCCTGAATCTGAGGTTTTCGATGATTTTGTTCTTTTGTTGTAGTTAATTTTCTTTTTTATTAATGAACAGAAGCAATTTAAATTCTTGAAAAGAAAAATGGGAATGTGCATGCCTGTTAATTTACTAATTCAATATCTATCAGGTAACTACCTATATTTATGTTTAATCTCTTTGAAAGAAACTATACATGGAAATAAGGTACCTGATTAAGGTTCTAAGTGTAGTTTCATTCAATTATGCCCGGACAATTTGTCTGGTAAATTAACATACATTTCATGAAGTCTACGTTGATGAATTTATTAACTGGGGACACTCCTTCCTATAATTATTTCTAAAATATTCTTTACCTAAATCAATAAAAAAAGTTATTCACAAGTCATTTTTGTTATCTTGCTATGTTATTGTATATGATCATATTTCAACTCTTGATATTTTTAAATAAAAATTATCAAAACGATTTCATTGTATTTCAGTTCCTGTAACTGATCCTCTAGTACTTCCTCCTGAACAAACCATACCGTTACTTGCTGACAGTTACCAATCTCAACCTGAAATTTTCCAGTTGCATTTCTTTAAAATGGCTAACAAAAGGCTGCTCGCCACTGGCCACTGGAATATAATATATGAGGGATGCATTTAATAATTTGTTATTATTATTATTATTGAATGATAAATACATAACTTGTTAGTTATAGATCTATGGGGGGCTACTTGCTGGCAGATGCCTCTCCACAACAACTACTACTAACAGTAAAGCGAAGATTTGGAGACTGTGGGTTGAACAAGCAAATACAAGAAATACCTCGAATTGCACAATAATATCCGTAATATGTATTTTGGCAACATGGCAACTGAGTTGACATCTTCAATATTGCACTGAAAATAAAATGAAGATTATCTGACTCTATTATCATTCAGGATATTCACCAGAAATCAACATTACTAATAACAAATCATGTATTAAAATTTCGACCTTGGTTTGAACCAATACTCAGAAAAAAAATTACAATTTGACATGCCCTAATTTGATTTGTAAGCAGTCAGGGATGACATTGAGATTTTATATTGTTTATATCAATTTCCTTGGTTCAGAAAAATAATACACAGAAACCTCGCATGAGTTTAAGCTATTCAAAAGTAGGACAACCTTCATATTATTTACCTACTGAACCTACTGGATTCATCTATTCAATAGGTGAACAAAATGGTTCGCTCACTACGAAAATGGTCTGGAGGTTGCTTGAGTGCTTGAGTGGAATATCGTTTTTCATCAACTAATTGATTGCATGAAAAATAAATAAATTGAACATACATTGGGGTGTGTATAGTTTGCGGACCAGAATAAAATGCTGCGGACTGGCTATTTCCAGCAAACAAATCGTTGTTTTTATTGCATATCTGGATTCACAAGTTATTTCAGGCAAATTTCAATATTCAATACAATTTGATTTGACATATCACTTTTTAATTCTTTAATTTTTTCAGGCAAAACATTATTACAAAAAATCCAAGAAGCAACCCGTTCCCATCAAGTTAGAAAGAAAGAGACACGTAATTTCCAAAACTTTTTTGGAGACGCTTCAAAAGCAAACTCGGAGAATCTACAGAGCCAGACTGATAAAAAAATGGTAGTGATCTTGATAGAAGATATAGACGTTGTCTTCGAGCAAGACGAGGGATTCATTCCAGCTTTGACCCATCTTATAACAACTAGCAAGAGGCCAATCATTTTAACGACCACTGACTACAACTCTGTATTTGTTCAAAAGTTTCTTAGTCAGTATGAGTACATACCCTTCTTGCCTTTAGCATCCTACTCTCTCTCGACTTGGCTGCAAATTCTATGTCTGGTTGAGGGCATCTACATTGATAAAAATGACGTAGTTATCCTGCTAGATTGCAATGACGGGGATGTGCGAAAAACACTTCTAGAACTTCAATTTTGGGTCAAATCGGGCGGCCAGATAAATAGAACTGAAATTCTAATCAAGATGGATCATAAACGTTCCAGTTGTGGAGAACAATTAGTTGAAGATGAACAGATGCATCATTTGGCATTTCCAGATGAGAATAATGAAGATAACATTTTTATGCATAGGAATTGTATCAAAAGCTTCAAATTATTTGAGTTTCAAACACCATTCATCATACCATTTTATTTAAACTTAGGAGTGCTTTGGTGGAATATTCCTAATATTATAGGGATACCTGATCATTCTAAAGCAAGAGTTGATAAGTTTATAGAAGCGATAGAAGCAAAAGAAGTGCCAAACATGAGTCGAAAAATGACTGGAACTGAGAAAAAGAAATTCAAGTCAGTTACCCAATTTTATGACTTACTCTCTTTCACAGATGTAATGTTCAGAAAAGTTAACTATTCTGACACTGCAGAGCCTATTGTGAGGAACTATGGTTATACATTGAGCAATAGTTTGGAATTAGGAGAAAAATATGATTCATATGATGGAAATATAGATTTTGTACATGAATTATGTCACAACTTAGTGAATCGATTTGTGAAGGTGCATAATAGAATTGATGGAGGTATATCCAAATTGAATATGTCAGCTCCTGATAGGACAGAAAGAAGGTAAGATTTCATTAGTAATCATTTTATAGATAGTAGAAATAACCATTTTTGAGATTTATTTAGGACCGAACGGTTTTTGAATTATATTTCGAAGGTTCAACTATCTTAAACTGAAGTAATATTATGTTGTTTTATGATTTTGATTTTAGTCTAAATCCGAGCATCATATCGAAGTCCTATGAAAAAAACCTTGAAATTTCAAATATCTGTGGTGAAATCTTAAAAATTAATAACTAACAAAATAGTGAGTCACACTACACTTGTAGCAATCTACTATGGTCAAAGTTATTCCTTCAATTGAATGGCAAAAGATGTCGCCGGGATTCGCTTTTATATTGATATCAACAATGTTAATCGCCGTATAGTTTTTTTTTGCGCTGTTCAGACTTCTTGTAAAATTTCCTTCGAAGCTTCTACGATCGTTCAGTAGAAGATGAAGTTGACAGCCTTGTGGTTTTGGAGTGAGCATTTATAAAATAATCTATGAAATATTCGTCGGCCTGGTGTTAGGTAAGTGATCTTGCCAGAAATTTGATTTTGTGAATATATTTATCATTCTAAACGATTTTAGTAATTATGATTGATTCTTTTAGTTTGTTCGATACTGGACCTTGTAGCCATCCATTTATGATACGATAATACCCAGATCAAGATTTGTGTCTGATTTGCTATATATTTGTGAGAACCATAAAATCATGTTACATCTTGGCGCTTAAACGTGACGCAATATATAGAAGCAGGAAACATGGTTCTTGGTCAATCACCGATGGAATCGAATGAAAATGGGTACAATTTGAGGAGCAGAAATCAGGCATATCAATCAAAAACAAGTGCCATCCCAAGACACAAGCTACCAGAAATGAGGGGTTCTGGAGGACCGGTGCCACAAAATATGAATCAAACTACAGGAGGTAATTTTATGGAAACACCAGCATTATCCGGTAGCCAAGGTGGAAGAAAATGTGTTCCTAGTCATTCTGCGCCACCGTTACCTCCAGGAGAAACCAGAAATAGTTAAACCCAGGGTACTAGGGAACGAAGTCATTCATGGGGGGGGGGAGAATGTATTCATTTCACAGCAAAACAAAATCAAACTCACCTCCAGAACAGATGAATTTTGCATCCAGTATACCGGTTAATTTCCCCCACCAAACCAGCATGCACCTGGAGCACGAAAATTCGAAGGAAATTATCAGGGATCACAGAGAAACGATAATTTCAGTGGAGACCAAAATTCGCAGAATTCAAGTAGTGAAGATCGTTTAATTGAGTTATTCAATCAAGTATTACAGAATTTCCAAATGTAAATCACTTCCCTAAGCAAAATAACATGTGATCTAATCAAAATCATGGAGATATTTTTGAGATATTCTACTGACGCCAAATCATTTGATATCCGACAAACATCAATTGGACAAAGGTGTTTTTCTTCCCTTGCTCCTCGCCTGATCAAGTTGATGCCAGATGACCAGAAAAAAATTAATTCCATTGCCCTAAAAAAAAAGTAGAAGCTTGGCTCCTCAATATTGATAAAACTATAATCAACAATATAATTGAAATATAATCGCTCTCTCTTCAATTCAACATAGATGTATTTTCACTTAGTTTTCGTAACTGGCTATAAGTAGAAATAATTATTCGTACCTACGTACACTAATTATTTTTATGTCACGAATACAACGGCAACTTTTGGATTACAACAGGTTAGACTATTGTATTATCCACGTGAAGACTTGCCGTTTTGTTTAGAAATTGATGCCTCTGATAAAGCATTAGGTTGCCAACTTTTTCAAATGGTCAGTAGGTCAGTAATAACATGGGCGTTCTGGATTTTATTAGAGCTTGAAACTCGGTATCACGTTTGAGCGAAAGTTCATAATCTTTACTGGTAACATGATAGTAATTTATTTAAAAACGTGCATGCTTTTTTGAGCTACATATTGCGGGTAAACAGAATTTTATTGCGGATGTGCTGTCACGTCAGTCTGCCGTACGGCCTCCCACACCGGAAAACAAATTGTTCAAAATATTACCTTTATTCAAGTTTTGAACATAACGAAATATAGGACAGTTACAAAATGAAGACAAGAAATTGTCTGATATCAAAGTTCAGTTGCCAAAAAGCGAGGCCTTTCGCAGTCAATTCTTAGTGAAAAATGGTATACTTTATTGTCGTAGGGATACCGAACAATATTATCTTTTATGTGTGCCGACGTCTCTCACGGACACGTTCGCGCTTGAATATCACGAAATTCTGGGTCAATTCGGAGCCTACAAAACGTGATATCCTCTTGAAATGAGGTTTGGTAGTGTAATATTCACAAAACTGTAAAAAACGTTATGCGTACCTGCGATTTATGTCGAACACTAAATGTTTCCATAAGGCAAATCCGGAATATCATTTTATAATTCCAAATAGCAAGAATGAATTGTTGCGGTGGATTTTTACGGACCTCTTCCCGTCAGTAGGGGTTATATTTTCTCTACGTATTTTTCAAACTAGTTACTTTTTTCCAGTCAAAAAGGCCGGGCAACACTGAATCGCTCAACTTGAGATTATTTCATAAAGGTAGGCATGCCACAAAATATTTTAAGCGACCACAGAACCCTGTTCACGGCTGGAAAGTGGCGTTAAACCTTCCAGTCTTTTGGGGTCAAGGTAATTTTGATCTCGCTGAGACATCCACAGGGAAAGTCTTCGGAAAGGGTAATGTGGGAATTGGAACGACTATGCCGTGCGTTTTGTCATGACCAGGATACCAGGTGGGCGTTTGGATTAAAGAGGTTCGCGGATTTCCAGAATAATTTAGTCCACGAATCTACCGGGTTCCCACCGAAAGAACTCCATTTTGGCGATGAGAAGCACCGTCTCCTGCAACATGAGTTGTTGGGTTCACCAACATGGGTGATTCCTATTACACCAGAGCAAAAAATAATCCTAACCAAGAAGACACTGTTAGGAAGGGCGGCCCGCTGGAACGCAAAACATCCGGCTGTACGTGATTATACTTACCAACCTGGTGATTTAGTTCTTCTGCGAGCCAATGCGATTTCATCAGCGGACGGGCCGAAACTAAAAAGTTTCTCCTTTTATTCGAATGTCCATACCGGGTGAAGAAGAAAATTAGTCTTGCTACCTATGTTTTTTGCAACAGTATGATTCTGTACAGAAAAAGGTCACTTTTCACGGTAGACACCTTCGGATTTTTTTCTCGTTTTCCTCAAAAGTGAAACTTGTTAAATCGGGGGCAAATTGTAGCAATCCATTATTGTCGAAGTTATTCCTTCAATTGAATGGCACAAGATGTCACCGGGATTCACTTTTATATTAAAATCAACAATACTTATCGCAGCATAGTTTTTTTGCGCTGTTCAAACTTTGTAACATGTCCTTCGAAACTTCTACGATCGTTCAGTGAAAGATAAAGCTCACAGCCTTGTGGTTTCGGAGAGATCATTGATAAAATAATCTATAAAATATTCGTTTGCCTTGTGTTAGGTAAGTGATCTTGCCAGGAATTTTATTCTGTGAATATATTTATCATTCTAAACAATTTTAGTAAGGTTGATCAATTCTTTCAGTTTGTTCGATACTCGACCTTGTAGTTATCTATGTATTAAACGATAATAATCATATCAAGATTTGTGTCTGATTTCCTATATATTTGCGAGAACCATGAAATCACCCTGTTGCACACTGTTTTAGAGTCCGACCACGATAACTTTGGTACAGCACGTGGTCGCGTATGCATTGAATATGCATATGCGTTGCGTCACATGCTGTCCCAAAGTTAACGTGGTCGGACTCTACCACTAACCAAACCGATTTTTTATACGCCTCAACACGTGTTAAAACGTTCTAATCTCTTCCTGATGCTAACGTAGCTAGCAAAACACGTGTCGAGGCTTATAAAAAAAATCGGTTTTGTTAGTGGTGGAACAGTGTGGTGTAATTATCGTACCGAAGGTTCCAGTCTTCGATATATAAAATAGTGATAGTGCTCAGATAGCGGTTAAGGGTCGGGTTCATATTTTAAAAGGGCACACGTGTCTTTGAATTACCGAAAGATGATAATTGAACGTTGAAAAATTAAACTAATAAGTAACCTTTCTTCAATAACCACCTGGTCATTCACTGCACAAAGACATCATTCGATTACATGCTTCGTAAGCAGTTGGCTGCATTAATGTCCACAAAGAGCTCCTCATATAGACATGTTACTTGTTAAACTGCTCCTCCTGTGTATGGGTTCTTCGTATTCAACGATAACGACTAATTTTTCCTGAAAGAGATTTGCACCTCACTGACGATATTTCAGAGTAAGAATCAATTTTGGGCATACCTACCTTCCCAGTCCAATTGACTTCGACTGTAATTAACATCCCACGAACGAACTCTACGACCAGCGTTGTAGTAATTGACAAGATTGATACAACTGTATTTCAATCCATAATGTTAAGGTATCTATTGTTAACTGTTCACGTTAGGCGAAATAAAGTTGGCTAGTATTGGACTGGGACCTGTTTGGCTATGGGCCAGGACCGCGATTAGGTGATGGCTTCACATCAGGCATTGAGTGGTGGATCATTGGAATAATCCGTGAATATCTGCTGGGGGGTGTTCATTTTCATCCAGAGACACCGACAAAATGGGGGTAGCAACTCTGTGAGTGGATATTGGTGCGGCCCTCTGCCGACCGAAGATGATACTAGAAGTTGCACGGAATGTTGAGATTTTGGATTCTGTGGTTTGACATTCGAATCGGTTTTCTGTCTGCTATCTTTTTTCCCTGCCGCTCTGAACATGGTGGTTGACGTTCTGTAGGCGACTTCAAAATTTGCGCGCGTTTTTGTTTTATGCCATGGAACAAAACTGTATACGCGCCTGATACCCAAGGAGAGTAAATAAAGTCAAAGAGTGTTCAATCAGCATAGCAGGCAATTGTTTGAGGAAGAGATGCAAACACCGCATGTCCACTGACGTCACACGCCATGGCATGCAGATTCTTGTTGAATATCTGTCAGGCTGTCAAAAATGAGCAAGAAAATAAGTATCAAAATTAATGAAAAACTATAAAAACATCTGAGATTTCGATTTTCGAACGAACCAAACGACTACAAAATATTAATTATCTTAGTAATTATCTTACTACATCAAAGAAGAAGAATTACATGGTGGAAATATTGGTCCTGAAGAAATCAGAAAAATGGTTTTCGTTAGTACCTACCTATACTGGAATCATTGTACACAATCATATAGAAGATTCGATATTTCTAGCAAATACGTGAACAGTACTTCCTGACAAACTACAGGGTAAATAATTTGATTCAGTAAGGGACAGAGGAGAGGAAGCTTACTAATAACTATAATCGAACATGCCATTTTATAGTTGTCTGTGTTCGAAAAGTATACCTATTTGTCAACAAAAAATATTGCCAATGTAGAAATAGTAGGTATATTATAATCAATATCTCTTTTTTTTTCTAAATACAAGTTTTTGAACTGTATATCTGTTCTCCAAATCAGAAAATTTCGAATATTTACTGATAAAATTTAATTCAATTGATAACGAATACCTGGGTTGCCTGTACTCAGTATTGATTTATACCTACCTGTGATTCAATGCACGATAATAATTATGGGGTTCCAAGATGAATGAAATGAAACACAATCATGTCTTGATTCATTATTATGTGATATACCATCAAAGTTATCAATAATTACAGAAAATACATCAATTTCAAATCAAGTTCTGGGCAAGTGAGCCTTCCTGACCATGAAAGTCCTATTCACTTTTATTATTTCTTCCTATGAGCACTATTCAAGGACTTGTCTGTCATAAACTTCGCTTGAACTACACATAAGTCAAAAAATCATTTTTAGTTTATAATTTGTGAGCACATAATTCAGAATCGTGGTACTACACCAAGCTTTTATAATTCCACAGCTGGTTCAATCACTGTATTTTCCTTCAAATGTTTAATTATTTAGTCGATAAAACTTTTATAAGCAGAAAGTTGAATTTACTTAGTCTCGAAAATAGAAGAGATATTGCCGACATAAAATTTTCGTTTAAGTTGGTAAATAATATGATAGACTCAATCCCAATTAATAATTCCATTCGATATAACGTACCGCAATACCCCACTCGAAGTCATCAATTATTTCACACAAAAGCGGCCAACACAAATTACTATTTGAACTTCCCCATCATCGTTGCTTCAAAAGCAATAATTCAATATCAAATCTGATTGATATTGATATATTTTGTAATTCATTTACCACCTTTGTAAATAAACTCAAAACATACTTTTTCTCGAACCTCTGAATCCTCGTTAGCACCTTGCAGATTTATTGTATTTCTTTTAAATTTTGTATACCATCCTAAGTTCAAATAGGTTCCCCACTAAATTTCTAAGATGAGTATTATTATAATTATAATGTTATATGACTACCTGTGAATTCTGTTTTTAGGCTCGTCCTGTTTGTATTCCTGAATATATAAAATAAAATAGTGTTCTATGAGAGACACCTAGAGAAGTGAAAAAATAACATAACTTATTGATCCTTCAAATCCATTTTGCATTTTTTATGCATGTTGACTGGCACATATGTGAATATTCATCTTTGATTAACATGAATGTAATTTACAGGCAAGTCAAGTCTGTTTTGTCTTCAATATGCTTCCAGGGGTTATAACCAATTATAATTATATCTGGGTATGTTACACATCTGTGTGTAGGTATTCGAAGAAGTCATCAGAATCTGCATTCTGTGCTATTATTTTCCAGAATTCAAAAATGCAGGTTGGTGAAAATCTGAAAAAACAAAGTTAGAATATGATATTTACTGAAATATTTTCTAACCTACTGCTACCTACTCACTTTTTTGTCAAATGGAAAATGTACTGCATAAGGTAAGAGTCTGGCATTAGGTGTATAATAATTCTGAGAAATTAATACTGTGAAGATTAAAAATTGGCATGAGTCAACGCAAAACCTAAACATAAACAAAGTGAAGCCATTAGTCCATGTTCACTGACGTCACAGTAGTGAGAGATAGTCAGCGGAACCTGATTGGTCAGCCGCCCGCCTGATTGAACACTCCTTGTGTATTATTCTCCTTGGATACTACCCACTAAATATTACACACAAATATTGACATTCCCTATGAGATTTGATGTTGGAGTAAGTACTATCCTTGCAATAGTTTTTTTTGTAGGTGGAGAGCTAAACAACACCACTGTGCAGATGCTTTTCAGGATGCGATATCTTTATCGAATCATCTAGAAAGAAATTCGGTTTCCTTGGATTACATTCCTGCACTACGTAATATCTCTAGGACAGAGTTTATTAGAGCAGCAAGCAACACAAAACGTGGCAATCGTTTCAGAAATTATCTTAGAGATTTAGGTCTGAATCGTAATAGCAACGTTCTCACAGTAGCATGTAATATACTGAAGGATTTATAATTGTATGTTGAGGGATTTTATTCGGGGTGACCACAAACATACGGTAACACCAGTTATAGGTTCATGGTTCATAGCACATAGTAACTTAGCACACATTTTGGAAAGTTGATTTTACTTGGTATCATTTTGGGTTCAAGTGAAAATAGAAAAAACTTTATTCTTTAAATTTTGAATGTATGACAAATTGATATTCATCATACAGGACGTGGAAAGAAATTCTAAATTGAGAAAATCTAATCACGAATCTGCGATTGAAGGTAAAATAACAAGTTTCCATCGTTAAAGTTTGAACCCCTTGATTGGGTGAAATCATTGAAAAGGAATATTCTTAGATAAATTATGAATATAAAAAAGGAAGTTTTTTTCATTGTATTTATTTTTTTATATGTATATCCATTTTTTCATTTTTTATATTCATAATTTATCTAAGTATATTCCTATTCAATTTAATTTTTAATTTTTTTCGTCCATCTTATTCACCATCGGAATTCCTAATCGACTTAATTATCATAAGTTGGTCTATTCATGATCTATTCAAAATTTTAGCAAAATTAACTATATTCTCGAATAGGTATCTAGTATACCAAATAGTGTTTTCCATTCAGCCTACTGACCGCTGTCATCTTGAACATAATGCATGAAATTTGATGTAAAAAAGATCAAGAAAATATAGATCTGAAATAATTAAGTTGTAATCATTTTCGGTTGAAGCGGGAATGATACGAAAGTCTCAATTTCCTATCTTCACAGGTAGGTGTTGAAACGGTGGCTTGATCATCAGTTTGTAGTCACCCTGGTATACTAGATTTTTTCAGGTCGTTATATTTTGTTATCTGGTTATTTATAACTTGAGGTTTGATGAAATCATAACCATTGTTTTCATCATTGATCCAATATTTGTAATTTTGTAACTATGCAGGATATTTCAATCGAACCAGCCCAATTTCGTTATTTGATCATTCAAGAAATTCCGAACCACGTTCATTCTGGTTTCGAGGGTACACAATGGGGTTGTACACACTAGTGGAATTCACGCCACATATCTATTTTATATTATTACTTCCAAGTATTGAAGTATTGATTGTATTTCATACCGGTATTCATCATTCAAAATCATCACAAATATCTTTTCAGTGCTGAAAATAACTTTCAAAAACGCTTACTCTTAATGAGTAATTGACGTGATATACTGATGAGCCCCAATAGTGTAAAATTCCTCAACAACCAAAGAGAATATATCCAAATTCCACACAGGGGGTTCAAACTTGAACGATGGAAACTTGTGATTTTTATAGACCTCTAATCGCAGATTCGTGATAGAGTCTCAATTCAGAATTCATTTCCACGCCCTGTATGATGAATGTCAATTTATCATACACCCAAAAACAGAAATAAGAATTCACTTCCATAGTAGGAGTGTACAGGGTGGCTGGAATTAGAGCCTCATCATTGGGAACTCGTAAGAGATACAGGGTCGCTTGAATTATGACACAGTTGCGCGATTTTATGCCCAACGAAATGCCGTTTTGAAAATTCCGCATACTTTCAGACATATCCGAAAAAAAAATCCTAAACCCATTTTTTTTCAACGTATTTGGGGAATTGATCAAATGAATGACACCTCACCTATTTTTAAATAGGGACCTGGATTTTTATTTCTTTTTTTCAACCTTTGGATGGCCAAGAAGCAATGAACAATCACCAATCTTCATTTTAGAATGTTTTGTTTACAAAAATTAACAGTTTCGTATTGAATATTGAAAAAAAGCAAAAACTGTAAACTTTTTTTAACGAAACATTCGAAAATGAACATTTGTGATAGCTCATATCTTTTGAGCTATCCAAAGGTGAGAAAAAATAGAATGAAAAATCCAGGTCCGCATATGAAAAAAATAAATAACTCGAAAAAAAGAGCTTTTAGGAATTTTTGTTTTAAATCCGTTCAAAACGGCATTTTGATTGGCATAAAATTGTGCAACTTTGCCATAATTTAACCGACCCAGTATCTCTTACGATTTACGAGATCCCAATGAAGAGGCTCTAATTCCAGCCACCCTGTACTTAGATACACACAATACATAAGTTGCATTGGATTTAACGCGGTACATGTCATCACGCGTTGCCAAGCGTTCTTCATGTTATGAAATATCGTTCAATAAATGAAATCAATCAATAAAATGTACAAGGCACTGAGAGGAAAACGTTTTGTGACAATGAACTATTCTGAGAAAGTACTTCGAAATAAAGAAACAGCAGGCCCATTGTAGGTGGAAATGAACCTTTGCTGTAACCAACAAACCCCACTACAGAACTCTCAAATGGTGGTAGCTAATAGTTATTTGTTTTACAAGGCCGCAAAGTAGTAGAGGAAAACGTTTTGTGACAATGAACTATTCTGAGAAAGTACTTCGAAATAAAGAAACAGCAGGCCCATTGGAGGTGGAAATGAACCTTTGCTGTAACCAACAAACCCCACTACAGAACTCTCAAATGGTGGAAGCTAATAGTTATTTGTTTTACAAGGCCGCAAAGTAGTAGATTGACTGCCGCGGCTGATAGTTCATAGCCGAGCGTAGCGAGCCAAGGGCTATGTAATTTTTTTGAATAATTATTGAGATTGAGGATATTTCATAACACGAAAAACGCGGCATGACGACATATACCGCGATCAATCCAATGCGTTTTATATGATACGATGATACGACGTATGTATTTTGTGTATCTCAATATACTACTAGGTACTGTGATAGTGAATTATCATTCCTATGTGGAATGTGGAAATATATTTATTTGTTGGTGGGAGATAACACTATTGGTGCTTATCGGTATATCAAGTCATCCAGAGCCAGCGTTTTCAAAAATAATCATTTCAACTAATGTTTACTACCGCATTCTCTAAATATGACTCATTTTGATTCCATGTCTTGTGTATTCACAATTGTTCGGATATTTTTTTATCAGAGCCAGAGGTAATACAAGTGTATGGAAATTTGTTTTATTTATTTCCAGTAAATTCTGTAAATGAGGATGTTTTCTTTTAGTTTTCAGTGTATATTATGAGGATGCGTTTAGGCCATTTGTTAGTGGGAAATGACACTATTGGTGCTTATCGGTATATCGAGTCATCAAAAGCCAGCGTTTTCTATTTCAACTGATGTTTACAACCCCATTCTCTAAATATGACTATATGTCGATTCGATGTCTTGTATATTCACAAGTGTATGGAAATTTGTTTTATTTATTTCCAGTAAATTATGAAAATGATGATGTTTTTTTTTAGTTTTCAGAGCATATTATGAGGATGTGTTGAGGTCAACAGTGTATTGTGAATTGTGGGATAAGTTGAGTTGGAATAAATTAGCTAGTTTTCATGGGGTGACGAGAAATAAATCGTTCGTACAGGTCATTTTCGTGAACTACTATACTATACAAACGAGCATTTGTTGATATGATATTTGTGTAAATTATGACGTCATTGATAATTTTCAAAAATGCATCCCCAGTTTTTGCAAAGTGTCAATCGAAAGAGGGCATTTTTTATATACCTACATTATATTGAAGAAGAAAAAGAAAAAAGAATTATATTTCTCATTTTCCATTCTGAGGCGGACGAGATTCAGTCCAAGGCTACTCTCAAATTTAACTTAACTAACTAACTGCCTGAATTGAAAGGTGAGTATACAGATTGTTTATCGAATCGTTACGTATAGGTCATGTGAATGGCACCATGATTTGGCTATCGTACGTCTTCGCTAGTCTTAGCTGGAATATTGAAAACTAAAATTCATAATGCGCCTAACTGTCCAGAGGAGGATTAAATGTCGACATTGCCCTAGGCAAGCATCTCATCGGCGCCTCTCTGGTGATCAGGATATATCCTTAATTATAACTTAATATACCCTCACCGGTGAAAAAAAAAAACCTGCCAGCAAAAAATTCAACCGAATTTATAGCCCTGGAACTTTTTCAAATCTAGTCCGATTCTGGTGAAATTTCGACCAAATCGTGAATTTATGTTTCGGAATGTTAGCCTAAATTTTAATTCTCAAGAAAAGCTAATGGCTTGATCATTATACAGGGAAGAACAAAAGTTGATCTTTCACCCTTAACACATTGGCTGCGGATTCTTTTAAGCTTACTGAACCTGGGTGCTAATTTTTTTTTAATGTTTCTCTTTCATTATCTTGTTGTAAATATAAATTCACTATTTTTACCAACATATACCGAGTGTTCGTGAAAAATAGTGAATTTATATTTACAACAAGATAATAAAAGAGAAACATTAAAAAAAAAATTAGCACCCAGGTTCAGTAAGCTTAAAAGAATCCGCAGCCAATGTGTTAACAAATACGGGCGACACGGATCCTTGTCATGCGCACGTGGCTACAAGTGAGAGGTGACACGGATCCGGGTCATCAGCATTGAATGTGTTAATTTATAAACGCTTTGTGGCAAAGGTGATTGGTTAAACTTATCTTCATTATGTTTTGGATTGAAGTGCGATACCTCCCTAACACTATATCTTCTTATGATACGATACAAATGTTTTAAGATAGCAGATATAGTAAGGAATTTTTAAATCTTCATCAACAATAATTCAGAATTATTTTCCAACCTTTGGATCGAAATGTGATCCCGTTTCGACCCTTCTTAATACTTTCTTGAATCACATCAATATATATTTTGAATGAGAAGATACACGAGTGTTTTAAGAAAGTATGGAATTCTTCAATTTTCAACAATGAATCAGAGCATATCTTTGATAGGAACTCGGGTGGCTCACTCGCCTTGCCTTCAAGAGCTACGATTCGCCCTTCTAGGAAAATTTGAGGTAAATTCTCAAGACTGCTTTAGAAATTTGATCAACTCGATGCCACGGCGGTTGAATGCTCTAGGAGGTCAGCTTTTCGTTGTTTGTTTTATTATTTAAGGTTTCCCTTGGTTGCTTAAAACGGTGTGGTGATAAGTGATATCAATTGTTCAAGTTGTCAATCGATGAGTTCATGTAGGTTCTGCAAAATTTAAATATTCATACTTCCTTAGAACACTCACTTTTGCCATAGCTATAGGGCATTGAGAAGTTAAGCGTGAAATCAGCTTTTTTCGGAGACTGAAATTGAGGTTAACATTGACAGAACTTCATCAAAATCGGAAAATAATCATGAAAGCTACAAGGCGATCAATTTGGCTAGGTACATTCGTCTTCAATGAACATGCGGTTGGACGGTATAAGCCCTCTTACTGCAGCGGTGATTAAGAGAGCTGACACCGTCCATGTGCGACATATTATCTAAAGACGACTGTACATTTTTTGCCGTTGAGTGTATATCTGTTATTGTGGGTATTGTAAATA